ACACTGCATGGCATCTAAAATAAATTCTAAAAATTATCAAACCAAACGCTAAATGTTCAAAACAATACGCAATGACAGAACAATTTTAGTTGACACCCAAATGCGTTGGCCAAACGCGTGTTGACCAAGTGCTACAGCTGTGTACGTGCATTGCAAATTACGGCATCGGCCAGAATATACGCCAAAAACGCGTCCAATGCTACACTCTTTGGCAAGGTGTGCGTGTGTGTGTGTGTTTTGGTGAGAGCACGCGAGAGTCACCCGTATTGGTATTGGTGCCAACGACAACGTGCTACGTGGCGCGTGGCATAACATTCGAGTTGTTTAATAAATAATTCCATTATTTAGCCAAACTAACAACAACAACAACAAATACAGCACTAAACACTTTGACTAACAACAATATCAACAACAATTGAAGGAGCGCGCGTTAATTGAGCAAACGTGAATTAAGCCCTTACTTCCCCCCTCTCCCCATCCCGTGCTCAGTGAACATAGTTTTTAACGACTGTGTTATTACTCATACGCCGCCGCGGCCGCGCTGTCGAAATGTTAGCATGTGGCGTCGCCGCCGTCGTCGACGTCATCGCATTAACGGTTTAGTGCCGGCATATGCAAGTGCTTGCATAATTTAGCATTTATCATGCTAAGCAAATATGCACTCAACGCAGGCAGCTGAACTTAATTACTCAACTCAATTCCAACTAAATGCGTCCAAAACTTTTGTAAAGCCAACGCGTCGCGTCGTGCACAGTTTATAGTAGTAGTAAGAAAAAAGGGGGGGAAAAAAAAAAATAAAGAACTAAAACTTTTTGAGTGCCTGAATGGGTCGTCGTTGTGTGTCTTAGGCCCACCAACGACTGGCTTGCATTGTTTCAAGGCTGTAACTCGTGTCGCTTATCTGTGTGTGCACCTGTGCAGCAAAATTCATACTAACAGCGCTGCCAAGTGCCACTTGGGTGGCAACGCGCACGTGCAACGTGCACCAAAAGGAAAGTGAAAACACTCGAAAGTGACTTTTCAGCACGTCAAGCTGACTAGTGATGCGTAGGTAAGCCACGACGTTGTCTTCGTTGTCGTCATCGTCGCAACGACGCCTGCGATATCCTTACACGGGCCACGACGTAGCCAGCAATCAGGTCGACCGCCTACAGTCTTGCCTCGCCTGACGAGAACGCAGTCGAGCAAACGCAAACTGTATAAACACCCACCCACCTGACCCACTGCTAGCTCCGTTAGCCGCCAAGTGGCGCCTGTATGCAGCTCCCCAGAACTACGACCACGAAAGCCTCCAACAAGAACAACAACAGCAATAGCTATCCGCTTATAGCGGGCAACACAAAAGAGGTGAGCTGAGTTATGCCAAGTCGTTTAGCTGTTTGCCAAGCATATTGATATACGACTATGCACAACCGAATATAAGCATGTGTGTATGTATGTATGTGTGCATGCGTACTCATTCAGTCATACAGTCAGCCAGGAAAGTAAACGCTTGGGTGACATTTATAAATGTTGATGTCGTAAACTTGCTTTAAGTTTATTCATTTACAATTGCGAAGTATAGCCAATATCATTAACTATTGAAATCAGGGTAAAACTGCTTTTAGTAATTAAGCTTAAATTTATTAGAGTTGACTTTTTACATTTCGTTTTTTAATGGGATTTTCTTTAATCCTTATTTGAATGGAACTAAATAATTTTTTGCTTATTTTGGATTACAAAAAATCGGATATTCAACTTTTTCTTTAGCTGCTTGCTGAACCTACACTTACACAACAATGTAATATTGCGTTGTAATGTGTTTGGTGTGAGTAAACTTCATTGACCCACTGTATGTTTTCCTTTACAGCAATACGCATATTGTTTGTATCGAGTATAGACCGTATGCTAAAATAGAAAATGGCTAGATGTATATATTATGGTAAGCTCCATTGGTCAAGGCAACGAACGTACGATTTTGTGCGTTGGTGTGGATTTTCATGTCCGTGTCCTGCTGTTCATTTCCTTTTCCGAGTGCTACATCCGGTTACTCATTGTTATGCCAGTCGCTTGGTCGCAGATATCCATCTTCATTATATGGGCGCGGGCGCAGCTTTCCAAAGGCTTGCGGTTACTTGCACTTGCCAACGACAGCAGTCGCTGGAGCAACAGCAGCAGCAGAAGCTGCGACATATCTGCCCATCATCAGGCATCAGGCCATCAGAGCTGAGCACTCGTGGCATTTCTTCAGCTTCATTTCACTCCAGTTGCGTCTTGCAACCAGCCTGACTAGCTGGTTGACTGGGTGGCTGAATGTCTGCTACCCAAATGTCATGTCTTGCTGTCAAATCAAATCAACTGTCCTGGCTGGGGCTGTCTGCCTCGCTGGCTTGCCAGTCAACGACCACTTGTTAGTCTGTAATTTGCGCTCACACCAAACGCACGCACGCACACACACACACACACACACACACACACACACACAGGCACTTGCACTTGCCAGACCATGTGCCAACCCTACAGTCACACACATACACATACCCGTCAAACACAGACCCAGACACAGCCACTGAGGCACAAAGCGCTTACGCTTTTTGCTTGCTTCACTGGCATCAGCCAAGCTGCTGAAGCTGGTCCTGCACCCGCTCCTACCCCATCTATCCTATCTACTTCGCCTTCGCTCTGCTCTTGGCGCTCTGTTGCTTGGTCTGTGGCTTCTGTCATTTGTTGAATCTTCGCACACTGCGCCTCAGTCATTCAGAGCGCATAGCCCGCGTTAAATTTCGTTTTTTTTTTCTTCTAGAATTTCAACGAGTTTTCGTGCTGAGCCGCGTGGTTTTCTTTGTTTTGATGTCGACTCTCGCTCTCTTGTGCTCAACATTTGCCATTTACTTTTCGCGTTTCGCCTTTGTCTGACTCCAAATGGAAACTCACCACAACTTACAGCTCAGTTCCGCTTAGTTCAGTTCGCTTGAGTTCTGCTCAGTTCGTCGCATGGGCTTTTCCTTGGAATCTGGCTTTGGTCTTAGCACGGGATTTCATAATATATCATGCAACTCATACAGCTGGTCAATGCCTAATGGCATTCGCTCTTTGCCCCTTTTTTAACTTATACCCTTATAGAGGGTATTTCAATTTCTGCACGAAATGTGTAACGCATAGCAGGAGACTTCTAAGAGTCCACAAAGAGTATATGTTCTTGAAACGTGACAATCGGACCTTATGTAGCTACTTCTGAAATGCTTTTATTAAATAAAAAAAAATATTTTATCAAACTCGAATTTACGAGTTACATATCATTGGTGGCAAGTGTATTTAATATTCGGTGTATCGAATATTAAATTTTTTATTGGCTTTTTTTGAAGTTTTTTTTTTGTGTTTTTTTGCTGCATGTACTTTACAGCATGATTAGTGTGTCATTGTGTGCACGTGCCTGGAATTCAATTTGTCGAATGCTCTTATAGTTTTTTGCAGCTCATTTGGCAAACAATTCTAATGACAGTTTTATGCATACAATTAGACTAGCAATTCAGGGCATACTCATACGCCCACATAGACGCACACGCACACCACACATACACACACATACGCATGGTCCATTGTCAAAAGGCGGCGCCGAGCTATTGACAAGGACACCCACATGGTGACACCGAGTGGAACGCTTTGTCGGGTGCAAAGTAACGCTGATAGCGTTGGCTGTGGTGCCAACAAATATTGTCAGCCGCCTGCTGTTTGTATTGTTTTATCATCACACATGTGTGCGTGTGTATCCTGGACTATGGAGTCGTCTCCTGTTGCGCCTTATGTACTCGCACAGCTGGCGGCGCCAGTTAAATGATTTCATTGAAGGCACCGGCGCACAAAAATGGCGCGTATCGAGCGCAATGGCGACCGTGTACTTTTGTCCTGGCCGCCACGAATGTGGCTACAGATACGCTTGCCGCAGATGCAGTTGCTCTTTTGTAGCCTGTTGTCTGTTCTGGCAACTTCAATGCGTATTGAATTTTATGTGGGTCGTCTGCCAGCTGCCGTCTGGCAACGCCCAAAAACAGGAAGGGGAAGAGAGTAAAAATATTTCTCAACGTTTGTCTGACATTTCAATTGTGGTTTCATTTCAATTCGTTTTTGATGACACAGTCAAGACGTCGTCGGCGTTGCTGCCGCAAGCCGCAACAACAACGCCAGCAACAATGGCAGCGACAGCAATAATAACAATACGCTAGTGTCGTTCGTAATATGGCAGCAATTTGGTTGTGCTGCAGTTGGTGGCAGCAGCAGCAGCAGCAACAACAACAATAACAACAACAACAGCAACAACAACGGCGGTTTCATTGCAAATTGAGTTAAGTGCCGAGCCACATGCAACGGGGCTGGAGGTTGGCGGCTGGCAAATGGCATAGCGCATGTCTTAGTTGTTCCTTGTTGTTGGCCTTCTAAGTGGGTCAAATATTTTGCCGGCAGCGGCACTTGAACACTGAACGCTGAGCACTAAGCGCTTTGCTGTCGCTCAAATGCCTGACAGCTGTGCGCTATGTGGTATATGAGCCTGATTTTCATGTAGCTCTACTATTTATTAATAAACCTCGGACCGCCAAAGATGACGTCATTCAGTCACTCAATTAAGTTGCACAGAGTTCTGGCTAAAGCGTGAGTGAAGCAGCAGCACAATGTATATATGTTTATATTTGTATAAATTATACACATATATATGTGTGTAAACTCATTTGCTATTACCTGTCGCCGGGTGGTAAAGCCAATAAACCTATTATGGCACAATGGAAGCTGATGAGTTCTGTGTGGTCAAAAGAAAACATTGTGACTTGGCTTGAAGCGATGTCAAACATTAGGTCTTGTACTTATAATTAATAACTTTATGTATACAATGGATAAATATTAACTGAAAATATTTTGTCAGCTGTGAGAATTTGATAAAATCCTTAATAAAACTCTTTATACTTGAATTTAGAAATATTTGGAGAGTCAATTTCTATACAAATAAATAAGGAGTTTATTATAATTTATTTAAAATTTAACGAATTTCTAAAATAACTAATTTCAAAAAGCTTTTGTAAAATAAGTTTGTATTCTGGATATTTATAATTTCCAGAAGTTCTATCAAAATATTCTGGCTATTCTAGGCTGTGTTCATACATACTCTCATTGTTGTCAATTGTTGCCCACACGATCACGACCGAAACTGCACGAAATCAATTTACCTGCTTAAGCGCACCCCAAGTAGAGTTTTTGACTCATATCTACTGCAAATTTCTCCTCACTTCCAAACGTGGAATATATATTTATATGCAGTGTACAAATGTCTTGACGTCATAAATTTACTGTGAGTTGTAAAAGTAAAAAAACAAAACATGAATGCAAATGTTATAGTTTACCGTCTGCTCATGAATAACTTAAATGCTCCAAACAAAAACTTTTGTAATTTTCCCAAATTTCTAACTTGCGTGAACTCAGGCAAACACAACTGAACAAATCTGCAATGAAAGTAAACGCCAAAAACGGAACCTGAATAAATATTTTGTCTAAAAAGAACGCTTATTGGTAATCGAAACTGCGAAATGCAAATTATTTTCGGACTATGAAAAAGTTTGCATTTTAAGCCGTTTTTATTGTGGCTCATCCATTGTGCTTTGCTCGCTTTCCACTTTCATAATAATTCTCTGCTGCTGCTGGTTCTCCTGATGATGATGAGCGCCCGCTGCGTTTTAGCATTTCGGCGCAACTTCTGCTCAGCATCTCCACATCCATATCCATTCGGGGCGCCCCAGTTGTGTGGCGCCAAGAGTGGGAGGCTGTGTGTGGCAGCCTTCAGTTCATTGTATGCAGCAGTCAGTGCCTTGTCGGCTACTGTGGCTCTCACTCAGTGTGTTTTGTGTAGCGGCGCAGCAAAGTATGCAACAAATTTGGTTAACTTTGACTAGTGTTAACTTTTTAAACGCCACCCACAAGGCAAGCCAAGCTTGTTCTCGTAGCTGTAGCTGCTGGCAACTGAAACTTATGTTTTGCATAACAAGTTGCTGCCTAGGTAAGTTGGGCAGACAAGTTGCTCCAATTGAGCCAACCCCTCGCCAACTTTAATGTCAAATGTACTCACTGCCGCTGACGTTCACTCGCGACTGACATAATTCAAACCACAATTGCCGCGCGTCGAATTAATTTGTTGTCACTTGTTAAAGCCATGGTTAATCATAAAAATTGCACGACATTTACAATAATCTATGACACGCGCCGCCAAGTTTACACTTCGGACATGATTATACCCTGTAAGCCTCAGCTCGAGAGAAGCAAGCTTGAACTGTGCATAAGTGTGTGCTAGTTAAAAACTGACTTCTTTGTTGGAACATCGTTTGGTATTACTGAGTCGTGCCTCCACTTCATTGTTTTTCCATTTGTTTTGTAATGTATTCATTAAGCCTCTGGGCGTAACAAACAGCCAGACTTGAGGCACGCGAACGTTTTTCAACGCTAATCAGTTGTAGTTCACGCAGTAGAACTGTAGGGTGTAGAGGGGTGGGCAGGTGGGCAGCAGTCGTCGAGGGGTCGAAGCTATTTGGTCTGTCTGGGCCAGTGCCTGGGCCTTGTCAATTTGGGGGTTTTAAATTGGCACGCGTTCGTCGCTTTGCCCATTGTTGCGGTTGAAAGTTTTTCTCCAGCTTGACACTGCTGTCCGTCCACGGTTATCGCCCCTCCCCGTCATCATGTACCATGTTGGGGTCATGACCGCTTAACAAAAGGATATTGCGCACAATTTCCGCTACGCGCCCGGATGCAATGGTAATCAATTGATTGTTTTATTGTAAATTAATTGTGGGCATGCACATGAGCAATACGACGGCTGTTGTAGGTAGTTGCACAGCCAGCTTTGCCCCCACTTGCCAAATCACCTCAGCCAGTGCTCTTGATTGCCGTGTTGTTGCCAGCATTGTTTATTGTTTTTACGCAATTGTTTGTCTGCTGGCCTGAGCGGTCTCTGTTGCTGTTGATTTAAAACAACCAAAAATGCGAAATGAGTTTTCAAACGGAAATTGAGTTTTTGGTTAACATAGCCAAAAGCTGGTTATTTGTGCTGTTTTTTCAATTTTTCTTTTCATTTTTACAGTAGCTGCACGGTAAAGTTACTTTAGTCAGCTAGGGGCCAAAATTTGAATTCTTTTTTTATCAAGCTGTAAAAGCTGAGTTCCTGCTGTAGACAGCAGTTGAGCGTGAAAGGATTGTAAATGCGACTATGAATTTGAAATAAGTATATAATGAAGCTACAAGATATAAATAGTGTTTACAAGAATAAAAGAAGTTCTTATAGTGCAAAAACATGAATAATTTCCTTACCGAAAACTTTGACTCTGACATTGCAGATGAAAGTTCTGTCTCACTTTGTGAGATTTTGCAAAATTCGACCATTCTGCAGCAGGGTATATCGATCAATTTCCTCTTGCTGCAAGCAGGAGTGGTGTATCTTATTCTTATAAACATATATATTCAAGCCATATATATTTCTGACATTTTGGTTGATCAAAAAATGACAATATAATCAAAATGAATTCGCACAGAACTTTTACTGAAACGTGCATTCAAAAAAATCAACACTTTGTTTTAGTTGCACCTAACTATTTATAAATCATTGTATTTAGAAACTTGTAACATTTTTGGTATTTTGAAAATTAAAATTGATTGATTACAAGGCTGGTTTCGGTAATTTAGATTGTTTTTTGCTTTTTGCTTAACTACTGAAATTAATAGATGTATTTCATAATGTACTTATTTTGTTTTTAGTTATCATCATTCCCATAGTTGCAATCAATTAAAGCAAATAACATTTATCATAATTATCGGCAAATCTTTTGCTAGTTAATTACGTACCGCTCTCTCCAAAGTGTTTAATAAAAATTATTTTTATGGAACATAAGCCCAAGTATGGGCACATCAATGCTCAGCTAATGCAATAACAAAAGAAAAGTTCTAAAAGAACTTTGCGCTGCTTGACTTAATTTTTGGCATATCTATGCCCATGACAAATGACAAAGTCGTTGCGAACTTTGGCCATAAGATCAGAAGCACCACCAACACCGCCAACACCACCGCAGGCATCCGTCCCAAGTTAACAAGCAACAGCAACACGTTTTGCTTCAGATGCGAGCGTTTGACATTTTGTTTGCCCGTGTGTGTGTGTGCTTGTTTGTGTATTCGCCATCATCATTAACTCATCAATGTCAAAGTTTATCAATGAAGTCTGGGCTAAAACAGATTTAGCGTAAAATTAACACAATCTAACGTGGCAAGCTGCTTATTGGAAATCAATTTCGTGCCTGTCTGCCAGCTAGCTGACAATCTGAACTGTCGCGCAACAGCAGCTATTCCGCAGATTGGATAGATACATCGGTATACACATGTCTGTGGGTGTGTGTGTGTGTGTGTGTGTGTGTGTGTCAGTGTTATACTTAAATCAATTATATGCTCGGTTTATCATATGCCGCCGTCTCAGTTGCTCTGCCAGCAGTAGCTTTACTTATTTTGTTTACACAATTTTTTTTTTCTTCTGCTTGTTAATTAAATTAGGCGATTTATTGGAGTTTGTCATTGCCCCTGATTATTGGGCCTCTGAAAGTAATTGTCAATAGCAAACATGGCGTGTTTACACGCCAAGCCATAATGACATTTACCAGTTATTTTCTGTCAGCTATTAGATGGCTTTATTTATGCTGTGTGCATATATTTATTTTCAGCACTGTTGCTCTGGCTTTGGCACATTGACAGATGCTCCCGTCACGTGCGCTGCTCGTTGTGTATGTCTGTATACCCTTGCAAAAGGTTTTAAAGTTTGTCACAATATTTGTAACGCAATGACCTTATCAAGTATATATTCATATATTTGTTATATGATCATAACATGTCTATATTAATGAAAATAGTCACACTTTGGCCTGATCAGACATCACGATCGGTCGTAAACTAAATTATGTGTACGTATTGAATGACTAAAGTGGTTTTCTTTTGCAAGCTATCTTAAATGAACTTGACACATGAAAACTTAACTTAATTAATGCCACATCACACCATAAAACGCAAAGACCTAGAAAACGAACCTATATACACCGCTGCACTGCAAGAGTATTAAATCTGCGCTCTACAGAAGATTGCTTTTTTTTTGTGCCGGATTTTCAGTTGCACAAAATTGTTTATACACACACACATGCATGGTGTACACATGCATATATATTTATATATACAATTTAGATATGACACAAAGCTCTACAGAATATTCTCTATCGATTTTTAGTTTTATTGTTTCACTTGTCGAACTGGAAACGACACTTGTTATGCAGCCCTCGTATTCACGCTGTAGCAATATCAAGCTGCGTTCTACCATTGGTGCTCAATAGTTACATTTTACTTGAAAAAATATATATTTACTTTTATATTTATTTGTCTTTATTTTGGCATGCCATCAGATACACACTGTGTCGGCCCTTGGCAAAAAATAAAAATGTGACAAATTTGTAAAATGATATTAGTTTTGAAATTGAAATGCTTGCAGGCTAATTAAAAAGTCAATGGCAGAAGTGCGGAAGTCAATATTAATATTTGAATAATAAATTTGACATATTTTAGTTGCCCTTCTGTCAAAAAATACAAATATTTCTTTTATGCAATCAATTCGAAAGTATTTACAATTTAAATCACTTAATGTCGTGTATATTAAATCCATTATTTTGTACAATAACAGACACTTATTCGACTCATTCCATACAATCGATTGTCATAGGTCGTTAGTTTTTGGGAATAAATGAATAGCTGTATAATTGTATTTATCCTTTTATTTCTTTCGGCTTTGAAGGTTGATTGCAATTATTTACTTTTAATTTATATACACAAAAAGCTGTTAAAGTGTATTTTTTTTTTTAAACAAAATTATTTAAATTATACATGTTTGTCAATAACAATTTATACATTATTTGTATTTTTCCCCTTATCAAATGATATAAATATATCCTTACATTAACTCATTTTAATATATTATTGAAATATTAAATAAATATTGCATGACAAAATTTAATTTAAAATAAATACTTAAAACTTTTGCAATTAAAATTAAATTAATCCCAAGTTGCGCTGGATAGGCCCCCATTTTTGACAAACTTATCAGCTGTGGTTGATTAATGCTTGTAAATTATAATAAATTGCTCAAATATACTTATAATTTATAATGATTATAACATGATACATTTTTATAATTTATTATAATTATAACACAATACATTTTTATAATTTATAACAATTACAGGAGGTATTCTGCTTTATTTAAAACTAAGCAAATGTTGCCAAGTGGCCTTTTTTCTAAGTAAAGTTCCCGTTTTTCTAAATTTTCTCCTTCAAAGATTGTATATATTCTTCTATTTTAATATATGATTGTGTGGACTTAATTGGCAAGCTTAATGTGGCTGCTCCGCAGTTATCAAAAATTGTCGTAATTAATCTATGCTTTACGCTGCGGTCAGTTAAGCTGCTCAATTGTGCATGTTGAAATAAATTCATAAATAAAATGCAAATGCGCCAATCAATTTTTAATTAAAATATATGTATTGCGCTTACACGCCTGAGCTTACTAATTTCCAACATACATAGATACAAATGTATTGTAAATGTGTATGTATATAATACGGAATCGAATATCCGCTTAACAGCTTAGAGCCGGAACGTCATTAGCAGCTGTGGCAATGTCAGCGTCAACGTCATCATGCGGCACAATAATATTTGGCATAATTGTTTCAATATCGAGCTGCCTAAGCTTAAGCCCCAAATTGGCCAAGTCCGTTGCCTGCCACACCAGATGGTCATGGCGACTTATTAAGGCTGCGAACATGCTGGACGAGTCATCGGTTGTCTCAGCAACGGACGGTCGGGCAGCTACAAATATTATGGCGCATTTACGTCAGTTTGGTTTTTAACGCTAATTAATTAAATTCATTCAAATTAACATGGCATCAAAGCGCCACATACAAAAAAAAAAAACACCAGGTTTTTGCCTTTGAGTAGCTCTTTGTGTCCGTGTGCCCCATCATCATCAGCGCAGCTGAGCACCACCCTGCACCACGCTGTAAAGCGTTAATTACCAATTTCTGTGCGCTGTTGTGTTTTGTGATTTGCGCTTTGGCACTCCACTTGCAAATAGAATGGAAAAACTGATTAACATTTGGCGTCCATGCGGCTGCTGCTTAATGAGCATTGAGCAGATCCCGGGCACAGGCGCGGTCACGGTCGTTGACTTGGGCACGCCCGCGTACTCGTGCTTTTGTGTGGTGATGCCAAGTGGCATTCATATTTCGTTTGTAATTCATTTAAATGAAATGCACTCAGCTGCAGTTAATGTGCCCAGGCTGTCGGGCGGTTGGTATGCAATGCGTTCTTAATTGGTCTAGCGAAACTAGAGAGCTACTGAGTGGCTGCTGTGAGTGATCCAGGGATTAGTGATTTCGTGGTCATTGGCTAAGCTTGCTATTTAATCCCACCCCCACTCCCCACCACCATCTCACCAAACAACAACTGTGTTCTCCCAACCTTTGCGCAGTGACCAACTTTTGCAAGAACCTGAACCAACTTGGCGCTAATCTCATTATTTGTTAAGTGCTTAAGTTAAAGTTATCATCTGGTTCAGCTTGAGGTTTGTAAATGCACTCTGCTGAATGCTCGTCGTTCCACTTGGCGTGTACTTGATCAACATTAGTGCATTAATCAAATTTATTAATAAATTAACAGGCAGTATCTGTCTGACCATTACATGCAACCCAGCGCTCTGCTGCCCGTGCCACTTGTAATACATGCCTCAATTAATTATTACCTTGCGTTTAATGAGTGGCCTTGCAGTTGAAATAACATCAGTAGTTGCAGCAGCAGCAGCAGCGGAAATGCGGTCATTCCCCATGATGTGTTCTGCCACATTTTAATTACATATTACACGTTATGCCCAACGATCCACAAAAATGGCTGCAAAACTAACATTTTGTACTTACAACTGCGATATCCATGCTAACAATAAAAAAAATGAACACAAAAAACTGTAAGCACATATGTTAGGGTAGCAATGAACAATGTAGACTCTATCAGAGATAACTAATTTGTTATTATTATAATTATATTTCTATAGTAATATATTCTTATATCCCACATAATATGAAGCATAAGGATTCAACAATAGGTTCACTTCCCTTTCCCTTTACTCTTATGCAAGTTATTCATTGTTATGTCCCTATATACAAAGCTGTTTCTCCTGACTGACTGACTGACTGACCGTAAGAGCTAGGAAGCTGACTTTGTAATGCAGTTACTTTATGTAATGAAGGTGCACATCAGGTCAGGGTTTCGAGAAATTCCAAAGATCTTTGAGAGAATTTATTCTATACGTGCCACAGGCAAGGCCGGGGTATACCTATATACGGATAAATATATTGTATTTACATTTTTATTGTTATTGATCTCTACATTTGTGAATTAATCCTGATTACAGTTAAGCTTGGGTAGCATACAAAAAAATGATATGTTAGCTGAGATAGTATCCCTTGTTGAAAGCATATTATGCACCAATCTGATGACACGGTTATATATACCCTGAGTATGTGTGTAAAGGCGATTAAATATGTTTTCGAGTTACGCTGTAGGTAAACAGAAACTTTTGTAATTTTGTTGGACAAATATGCAACAAATAAAATAACTTAAATAATTAATATAATACAGAGCTCTGCCTGCGATTGTTGTTCATTTTGCCGAGCACATGTAAATTAACTGCGACACGGCAGCAGCCAAATGTAAACTAATTAAAATTAATTCATCAATAAAGCACTTTGATCAATAAAGACAGGGCAGCCGCAGATCAACTATTTGCATTTGGTTTTATGGGGCATGCCGGACAAATATGCGAGTGTGTATTTAAAATATTTGAAAAATGTTTTGGACACTAGCAAATTAAATAAAAGTATGCAAAGGTTCAGACTGTGTGGCTAGATAAAATGCCACGTACCACGTGCCACATGGCGTATGCTTGATATGATGCCCTTCGCATTGCGAAGCGAGCACTTAATTATTATTATATTTTTATTTTTTAATACGTTTTTATATATACATATTCGCTTTATAATCATTTTGATTTGGCTACATTCGGGGCCTGCGCACGCAAATAGTTTCTGGGCGGTTTTTAAAAGTTTCACCGCCTGTTTGTTTGCATTGGTAATGAGTTTACTTTGGCTGTAAGTTGCGCAAACAGGCCACCAACACCGCCGGCTAGCGGGGTGGGGGGGGAGGAAGGGGCCTGCATTCTCAAAGCTAAGCCCCGCAAACTTGTGCATTAAACTTTCGTTTTATTGTAAAGTTCTGTCAACAAAATCTTTTTGCCCGCAAAAATTCGAGCGTGTGCGTATTTGGGGTGTGTGTGGGGTCATGTATGTGTGTGTGTGTGTATGTGCGTTGTGCATATGCGTTCGCTTGCCGCATGTGTTTTTAGTTTCCTTGGTTATTTTGGCAAATTGCTTTTTTGCCTGTGACGCTCTAACTTTGATAAATATACAATTTTTAATTAGTATAAAAAAATATATATACATATATGCCAGCGCAAATATGAACCCAGAATTTTCCAAAAAAATTTTATAACCTCACATAAAAGTCAGCAGAATTTGCGGCGTGCTTGTGTGTGTGTGCGTGTATTAGTTCTTTTAGCGTCTGGGCACTTTAAAATGTGCTTTAAAAGCAAAATAAATCACAGCTGCACGTCAACAGTTGTTATTGCCGTTGTTGCCTTATCAAAAGGTTTGCTGCCAGTTGTTTGTTTTTGTTTGGCCAAAAAACATCATGAGCTGGCGATAAGCCCGACTCGGTGCTACAGTTGAGATAAGCATCAGGCGCTGGCACATAAATTATACTCACTGACCCAGCAGTCAGTTTATTTGTTGACTAAAAAAGAAAACTGAATAAAATAACCAGAGAAGAAAACAAAATCAATTCATTAGAGTGGTAAGTGGAAAACCTAATAAAATTAGTATTACATTTAAATATATCTTTGTGTACATAAGTACATAACTTCTATTACGCTGTCGAGCGCTCGTTATGTCGGAAACACACCTATTCACAAAATTCAAAGAACTTCAAACAGCTCCAGGGACTTAATGCAGTCCCAGTAGTAGCCCTCCTGGTAAGAACGTTTGCTATAAAAACAAAATCCGCCACTAAGTAGCGGTGCTTGTGACATAATAGCTGTTACGCACAGTGGTTGAAGAAACAATATGTACATTGGTAAATATGAATAAAAAACTAGATACCTTGTTACATATAGATGCACTTGACCAACATCTTTGCCTCTTAATGATTTTAAAAAAATTTAAAATTTATTTGGATGCTGGTGAGGAAAAGAAAAAGATATATAGATAGATATAGATATATAGTTACAACACAAACCCAAACAAAAATTGTTCGATCCACGGCTCGAACTTCAGCTCACCTTTCGAACTTCGGCTCACGATTCGAACTTCGGCTCACGTTTCGAACTTCGGCTCACGTTTCGAGCTCCGCCCAATGGTTCAAACATCAAACCAATTTTTTAGCCTTAGGTTCGGTTGACCACAGGTTTGGGTGACAAATTGATTTGTGATACATTTTCAAAACATTACACATTTAATAATTTCCGATCTACAGAATGAGATTTTTACTTAGAACTCGCATTTACCCAATATGGGTGTACAGGGCCTCTTGTTGTTTATGCTGTAGGACTTAAAAACTTATTAATTTTTGACTCGATTCAAGTTTTAGTTTGGAATCCTAGTTTCGAAATTTGGATCCTAGGTTCGAAACGGTTTTGCACGACCTGGATTTCAGGCTTGTCTGTATGATTGAGTATTCTTATTTTCCAAAATCTATAATATATATTTAAAATAAACATACACTGAAATGGCTTTATACTTAGAAACGAACTTGTCTAAATATAAGAAAACAACCCATATTTTACTTTGAAATAAATTGTGAGAGCAATTGTGTTTTACTTTTTTCCAGGTAATGCATATTTTAATTTATTCTTTTCTAAATACAAGGTGCCCAACTTTTTAGAACATGGTTTCGTTTGGAAGGTAACAGTGTGATAAAAAGGCGATAGCAACTGTATCTTCAAGCAAATATAGTAGCATTTAACCACTGTGATCCACCTCACTCCGAGTTGCTGGCAATGTTGTCCGTGATTGCCCCTCGCACCACTTCCCGCTGCCTATTTGCCATATTATTATTTTTGTTGTTTGTATTTTGGCCACATTAATGGCTGGTATGGCGGTGTGTTAGCAACATTTTAGGTAAATTAAAAAATAACATTTTTTTTGTACGTCACACAATTTGAGGGTAGCGGCCAGCTTAGCCATATACGCAGTTTCTTATATTTATTAATATTTTTGAGCACGAGTTTTACTTAGCAAAAACTACAGCAACTTTGTATACTAAGAGTCAAATAGGTTCTCGTTGTGCGCTAATTTCTTAAAAAGCTTTGCCTATGCCTCATCGTACATTGGTCAATAGACAATAAGCCAAATAGCTGGATACTTCAAGTTAACGCAGGTGTAGCATACGCTGCAATCAAAAGTCACACTCATACCTACAGATACACCCACACAAACCTAACCAATACCCTATGCCACATATCATTATCAATGGTGACTGTTGACAATAGCCACTGGCATTGAGGGCCTGTAAAACCTTCAAACTCGACTCGTCCGTTCAGCTGGCACTGCCAAAGCAAATGTCAAATTAATTTGATGCTTTACTTACACATGAACACCTTTTGCCCAGATGCGCTCCCCCTTCAACAATGCCATGGATGCGGCTCTGTCGGCAACATCAAAGGGCTAGCTACGTCAAAAGGGGGCAGTGCGTGGAGGCGCACTTACGTTGGCTGGTCACCTGGCATGCTGGCTGTCAATTTCATTTATGTTTTCAATCGATTGTGCTCGACGATAGTATTCACAGCCACGCCTCCCAAAAGCACACACACACGCACACGCACACACACATACACACATGCACACGCAGCCAATATTGGTTAGATTTTTGACAGCTCAAATTGAATTTGCCTTTGCTGTTGCCTTTTGGCTGTCCAGTTCGCGTCGAGGCTGGGCAAAGTGAAATTTTGTTTGCTTGACCAGCTCACAGGCGTGCTGCCTCTGAGTTTGTGTGTGTGTGTGTGTGTGTGTGAGTGTGTGTGTGTGCACAGGGGTTGACCGACAGTCCGTCATGGCGTGAACACAGTTGGCTTTTGTTTATTGTACAGCGACAGTCAAACGATGATTTGTCTAATATTTTGATCGATTGTTTATCTCGTCCTGTCGTGTTTGTCTGGCATCAACAACCTGGACATGGGCCACACCCAAAAGCATATTTGTCACTTATGCAAGTGGCGCTGTCAGCACTGCTGCAAAGAAATCACAAATATCTTGAACTGATTGGCTATTTATACAAAAGGCATTTGTTTGTGTACATTACGTGTATTTATTTTGCCTTAACGTCACTTTGACTGATTGTCAATTTCCACCGTATGGCGTCTATAGATGCCGGCCAGCATGCAGTATTCGCACCAGAAGTCTGGCATGGTAAAGGGTTGCGTAAAGACTTTTGCAAAGCGCTTAATTAGCCGCCCGGCCAGCTCTCGCACCAGCGCCGGATCAGCTGGATTTGCAGGCGCACAGTTGACAAAGCGACAGAGCAGTCTTATGGACTCCACCGCCTCCTGGTTGCGTACGAGCAACAGCTGGCTAATGGGCAGCTCGAGCAGCTCCTGGAATGCTAACTGTGCGGCTGCATAGTTTTGCTGGCGTTGGGTTAGGCTGCTGCGCAGTTTGTTGACTTGTCCTATAAAAAGTGGCTCAACTTGAAGCGTGCTGCGCTGTTTGCGCACCTCCTGCAAGAAGTGCAGCTCCTGCTGGCTGGGCGAGATCCTTAAGCAGGGCGCGTTCGCCGCGGCTGCCGTACTTGTATCGAGGGCTCTCTGTACTAGATATTCCGCTATATAAATTGCTCTACGAAAATCCTCATAATCCGTTGTTTGTCTTGTGACAAATTGTCGTTTGCTCTGCTCGTTGTAAATCCATATTTTGCCATAGGGTATTAGGTGGCGATCATTGGTTAGCACGAACTGCACCATCCCATTGCGACTATTCGATTTGTCTATCAGCTTGGCCGGCCAGGGTATGTAGCCATATTTCTGGGCAAACACGATCTCATCCATTTTGAACGAATCTGAAAAAGAGCAGTATGTTTAGTAACAAGTCTAAAGATCAGTAAATACTTTCTTTTGGTATGCATATTTGTTTAACATTCAACACAAATGGAAAGGCTGGAAAAGAGCTGATATGACAATTTTTAGGCAGTGCTGTGCTGTGTCGCGTTATTGAGGCTACCAGTGTTGCAAAAGCGTTTTGAATACTTGGTGCTCCATGTTTTTTACACAGCATTTCCTAATTTAAGTTGCGAGCATTTCAAAACGTTTTGCAGCACTGGGCCAAGAAAGTGATTCTTGCTTGCAGCTGGTAACGCTTGAAAGAGAAGACTTGTGTGATCCCCAAATAATTCTTTAATGACAATTGAAATTTTCTTTTACAATACTTGAGCTTGAGCAGTGCTGTGAAATGCCGCGTAAGGCTCTGTGAATCAGAGGCATGCAAGCCATGCGGTGCATGAATCACCTCGTGAATTACATATTCCTGTCTCAGCTGTGTTAATTTGATTTATATTTATATTCTAGCTGTAGGAATGACTGTAAAAACATTCCACATTTAATCAATTTTTAAAGCGGATAGTGCAACACTCTGCGAAAAAATAGTTTATTAAATCTATCAACATTTAAAAAGTCATGAGTCACATTTATGGCGCGCCAAATATTTGTTGGTTAAAATATATAACTGTTAAGAACTGTTACGAAATACAAACTTGCACTATAATTGATATAAATTCTTTTTGCTTACAGCTTAAATTGAACTCAATTGAGACGGTAAGTCTTGCATGTTGTTAAATAAGCATAAGTTTATTGTTGGATATTTAGTAGTAGATTTGTTGGTTCATTTGAGTATCTGCTTTTATCTTAATTTGCTTTTTATTATCAACTCTCCTAGCTGGCATCCATGTCAAATTGTTTGTACTCATTAACATACTCAATTTGTAGTTAAATGTCATTTTGGTGTAGTCCTTGTGGCACTTCCTGCCGTACTGTCGCTCTATAAATGGTCCTTTTATATTGTTCTAGCTGTAGCAAACGCTTTTCACATTATTCACACGCCACGCTGACCAAATGGCCGCGCAACATGTGGCTGCTTGGGCAACAACTTGAGCAGCCACTTTCTTGCTTCTAATTTGATTTATATTTATAAAGCCGGAATCATTTGCTTTCGATTGCCGTAATAATAAAGCGTCGTTACATTTAAATAATGACCGGGCCGACAAGAACGATGAGGACATCGTCGACGTCTGGTAATGGCTATGAAAATTCAATTATAACCCAGCCGCAGCATGATGGCCACAGAGTTGGGGCTGCGTCGCGTTCGTAGTGCCAGTGTGTCCGTCGAAAGAAGGTACATAAAACACGTTGCAAGATTAATTGTGCACGCTGTCGTACATTACGTTGCGCATACGCCGTGTTGTACATGTGTAAATAAGAGCGGCACAACACTGTCGGCTGCTGCGACTGCTTTTTTGGTCATCATATTTAATTCAAGCATAAATTTTTGCACGCATATAAAAAAAAGGACACGGCGCGCGGCAGGCAGGCAGGGAAATAAAAAGAATTAATACGTTTCGGTTAATTTATGTGGGCCGTGGCCAACAACTAGGTGGCGCCCGGGCCGTGCGACGGACGGACCCATGAAAAATTGCCCGGCTCCGGCCCCGTCCCCGGCTCGAACCAATGAGCCACAAACGGCCGTGACGAACGGCAAGCGACACGCACCCTTGCCCAAACCCCTGGCCATAGCATTGGCAAAGGCAACGGGCTTTTGTTTGGTCACCCTTTTTGGCCATTCTCCGGCTGCCACTTGGTGGCTTCAGCTCCGCCATTTGGCTGCCTTTTGTTATTGCAGTGGCCATGGGTAATTACGGATGTGTGCGCATGTGTTGGCTGGGCCACCTGCCATTGTTATGTGGCCCTGCCCGTCTGAATTTTAATTTGTCATAATTTTGCTCGTTCACTGGCTAATTAGCTAGTCAGCAGCCCGCTCTGCGTCCACTCACCAGCTGACGTTGCCTCTGCCATTTCCACTGGCTTGCAATCAATGCCACGATCAGCTGGCCCGAAATGGGGGGCGGCTATTGATTAGCTAACTTACTTGGCTGAAATCTGGCACACAACTAAACCCAAAGCTGCAAAGCTTCATTTGCAATATTCGTTCACAAGACTTCAGCTGAGTATCTGTGGAATATTTTTGCGCAGCTCAGCGTTTTCGATGTAATCATAAAAACTTACATTCCAACGATCAACTTTTTGTTTGTTCGGCTTTATGGCAAGTTTGGGTGGGTATAAATAATCAACTTGACGATCCGATAAACAATGAAACGATATCTTTATAATAATAAGCATCTTACTATTGCAGCCGAGACTTAATAAAGACATTAATTTGCATTACGTTACACAATATCTAAAAATATTTGGATATGCTTGCGATTTTATCTACAAGAGTTTTTGCAGTTGACCAGTGCTGCAAAACATTTTGTGAGGCACTTTTACAACACTGCCTTATAATTCCCGATAATTAAATCTTGAAAGGGATACAAGAGATCTTGTAATACCTATGAATATAATATATATAATATAGGGAAATTTTAGGATAAACGCATCGATAACAGATAAATGAATTTAATGTAATATCAATATAACTTTAAATACAAATTATGTTGCCCATTTAGCTGAGCTGTATTTATTAATAACAATTGAATCCCAAAAACGGTTACCAATTTCCTTAATTTTTAGTTTATACAATTTGAAACCTATTATTATTATTATTAAGATTAACTACAATACATTCATATTATATTATCAACAATCTATAGTTAATCACAAAAAAAGAGCGCTAGTGTCCATGCCTTCAGTTAAATTTTTAACTTAAATTCTTCTACTTCACGCATATTAACTTTGAATATTCGATTTAAAAATATATTATGCAAGATTTAATCAATAATATCAGCTAGTTAGTATGCATCTCAAGACCTTAACATTGCCTAATACAAAGAACTTAACCTGCACACCCAAACACCCACATCACACACTCAAAAGCAACAATCTGAGACTAAAGCATGAAACCATAATATCGATGGCTCATCACTTCCGGCACACTCAACACTTGGCACTACCGACTTAATTTTTCAGCCAATAAACCATACAAGCAACTACACACAAAATATACTCAATGCAACAAATGCCAACGGGCTGCTAAAACCACATAAATCAATGTCTGAAGTAACCCAACAACCCACAATGAACCGGAGCCAAAATTGAGCGCCCCGCCCCAACACCGAACAGTCAAAGCTCGACTGGGTCGGCCATGCCCACTTCCATTTCCATTTCCATTGCTACATGCCCAGCCACTGCCACAGAAATGGCATGCAGTGACAGAAATTGCAAAATATTTGATTTGTGCTTATTTAATTTGAAATCTTGTACTCGGATGCGGATCCACATTCAGAGGCAGAGCCCAAGCCCAAGTGAGGGCCAGAGTCAAAGCCAAACCCAAAGCCAAAACCACAGGACTCACACACACACACACACACACACACACTCACACACACACACATATGACATATGCTTGCGGTTGTGTGTGAGTATAGACGTGGGTCTGCTTTAGCCCGGGACTGCACTGATTTAGATGGATGACACGAGTGCCGGAGCGGGATTTCCAAGCCTAAGGCGCAACATGCCGCTTTCAAGTGCGTTGTGCAGTTTTCAAGTGCTGTCAGCTGCACTTAGTCGACATCAGAATTGGTGCTGATGAATTTTGGGACGCATACAAAGCGCTCCTCGGGAGAAAGAGATAGAGAGAGAGAGAGAGTCCATCCCATGGTCATTACGATTAGCTTGAAGGGGATGATAATGGCGATGATGATGTTGATGGTGCAGCAAATGCAGGAGAATGCCATTTCATGTTCAATTAGTGCAGGCAGCCTACACTCTTCATTGAAAATGCCTGCGAGTATAATTAATTACCGGGTACTGGGAACAGCGGGATATCAGCATGCTGCCATTGTGGTTGCACCAAAAGGAGTCACACACACACACATTCCACTTTCGAATCCATCAACAACATAATTATCAATGTCAAGCAACATTTGGAAGTTGCAACTGTTGCAATTGCGGTTGCTGCTGCTTACTGTCGCCAACTAATGAGAAATTATGTTGATACTCAAATGGATTTTGGTTAGCGGCTAAATATTAACGATTGAATTGCGCCGCCCACACTCGTGGAACTCGTCGCATAACAACTACCATAATCGGGCAGAGAGCAGCAGCAGAAAAGGTAAAGGATTCGTGCCATCTGCACAGCCGCCTGGCATTGCACAATTTATGTGGAAAACAGCGGAAAAAGTAGAAAATTGTTGTCACCAATTTGCATATTGAATTACATTCATTGTTGATGCTCGCATGCATTACGTCCCCCCTTCTCCAACCGCTTGAACCCGCCGTGCGCGGCTGCCATGTCAAATGTGGCGAGCTGGCATTGTCCTGGCTGCTTGCTTACATTTTGAAGCCTTTGAGTGACGCTGACAATGCTGCCAATTGGCAGTCGCCACGCAAAGGCAAATCTTATAAAATATTCAGTTATTACACAAACAAGCGAACAGCGACCCATTCAAAATGTTGTTTATGAATGCTGTAAATATTCTTTTCATTTCAATTCACGCACACACAAAAATTGTCAGATATATTCCACTTAATATTCTATTTACTTACTTAGGTAACCTACATGTTAGATTAAAGCTTGAATTGGTTCTCGAAAATGTGATTTTTTTTATTCTCAGTCGATTCGAGTAGCCAGGTCTGTTGAAGATTGTAAGTTTTGTTCGAGTAAGTAAGAATGGTACGCACGCCGAAAATTTAATAACCTTTTGCAGATATGTGCAGAAAATAGTGCAGCGAAAATGCTGAGTTTGTTGAAATATCTGTGAAAACAGAATATTTTGCCTTATAGGATTCTGTTGTTCCACAGATCTTTCCCATAGCAGCTATATGATATAGTTATCCGATATTGAGAAGATCTCACATATACATGAAAATCATAATGGAGCTCTGATTGTCCGGCTCGGGGGCGTTTGCTTATCCATCTTTATTTATGCAAGCTGGTTTCTCACCTTATCTTACACATACTCTTCCCTTGCCCTATCAAATGCGCACACTAACTTAACAGACACCACATAGGGCCAAAAGGCTTTCTAATCCTTCCGTCCTCCCATTCGGACGCAAGCAAATTCTCTCAAGTTTAGCCTCAATATTAACATGCATTTGTGCAAAATGTAATTTAAATGAATATTTGCGTACGATAAATGTTTTTATTCAAATATTTAAAGATAAGAAAATTTTATCAAAATCTGGCACCATCTTTCACTAAAATAATATTAATTAAAAATCAAAAATTCATTCGGTTCAAATACATATACTATATAATCGCTTCCCACGTACACTCCTATCTTGGCCGAACATATTCTTTAAAACTATTGCTCAATGCTTTTTGTTCAATTTATAAATCCGACCAATTCCACTAGGCGAACACTTCTCTTAAGCATACAAATATTTTTCATAGACATCAACCAAGGCATCTCTTACTTTTAGTACATATTTAATTTTTAATCAACAAAGTTTAGTTGAACAGAACTCAGAACAAATTGCATAATTTTTAATTTAATAAAATTTGATGACTGTGTTAAATAAATAAAATATATATGTCTCGCAAATATGCAAAACTAAATCTCAATTCTATTAATAGATTTATCGTTTATTAGATTTGACCAACTTGTTGAAGATATTCCAGCAACATGGCAAACAGTTGGCCAGCAGAGTTTTTGTGCATTTTGGCCAATTTACCAATAGCAAAATAATTAAAGCAATTAAAATTTCATTTGCAAGTTTTTCTGTTGCACATTTCCGGTTACACCCAATGTCATTTGCAGCTGGCCGCAGCAGAAGTATCTAAAGAGTTGTGTCGACTGCTTGGCCAAAGGAACCAAAGCGCTTTAATTTGAGAGTTTACACACTTGGCATGCCTGGCGGAGTTTGGGAATGGGTTCGGGCTCTGGCAACAGTTGAAGCACATACAGTAAATTAAATTTTAAACTTAATATAGAAAACGATTCTCATTGCCGGCTGAGATTTTGATTGCCAGAGCTGACTGCCAAATTGCCAGGCATTTTGGCATTTGTGTTTTATTTTACTTTTAGTAGCAGCTACCGCTTTTTACCTCTTTCTCTTCTTGTTTTTGTAGGTGCTGCTGCTGCTGTTGCTGCTCGGCAAACTTTTGAGCGTACATTAATTAGAAGCTGCCACGCTCGACAGACACGCGCCCGGGCGCCATAAAGTTGCCAGCGTCTGTCCAAAAAGTGCAACATATACGCGAGTGCGCGCCAGGTTTTGGTTTAAGTTGCGTTTGGGTTTGAATTTAAGTTCAGAGTTGAAGTTTTTATTTTATACCCAGTACCCATTAAAAATGGCTAAAAGCGGCTAGAATGGTTTTTGCATGGAATAAGCAGAAGAATAGTTTTCTGAACCAATTTTGTATATGAATTCGTGATTAGTCTGAACAATCAAAGAGATCAAATTTATTTTAAATCTTCGACAATCCACCCGTTTTTATGTTCAAAAGTGATAGCAGTCCAATTTTCTTAGGGCAAATATCATTTAGCAGCTGTCGCTCTAAGAAGGGTTGACTACAGAATAAGAAGTTTATTTCTTATCATCTATTGGTTACTCCATTTCTGCAAACTCCTTTATCGATAAACAGCTTCAAATTGAATATGCTTGCTCTTCGCTTTAAAGCAATGATCGGACTTTAAGCACCGAAGGTATTCAAGAATGCATTTGCCATAGCTAACTTCCGGGGAACGAAAGTTCGAGTTCTTGTTACGGCATCTTTGTGCACACAGCACAGAGTATCTTATAGTCAGGCATTCCTAATTAGAGCGTCAATTTTTTTATTTCGTTTTTGCTGTTTTCGGCAGTCGTTTGGCGAGATGCTTTTAATTAAGGCAGCCGACAGCGTCATGCGCCATGCCTTTGGGCAAGCAGTGCCTGGGCGGGAGAGCTGGGCGGTACGGCGTCTCGCTAGTTGCATTATGCTGGCACTCGCTTCAGTGGCGACAACAAGGTGTTAACATTTTAAAGTTGCCTTTAATTTTGTTAAAAGCGTCGGCATACATACATGCCCACAGTGGCATCAGGGCCGAGGGCATGTTATAAATAACGCAATCTTCACGCACGTAACTCAAATGGCAACTAATGGGCGCCGGGATGGGCGTAACACTGCGTCGCGTCTCATTTAGCGCACGTATCCAAATAATGACCCAAAATGATGGCGTTTAATTCAAATGAAGCATCCGCTCTGCTGACCAACGTTGCGTATACATAACGCTAAATAAAAAAAACACATGTAGCTAGGCCATAGAAATGTAGTCGACATTGAAATACCCAAGAAGAATACCCAAGAACTGAGAATTTAACATTAAAGGAGATATAATGCATTGATGCATAGTTTCAAGTTCATAATTGATAATTAGGATGGATCCATCTTATTTTCTCACTTTGATAAAGAACTTGTAGCTCAGTTGTCTTGAAGTTGGGCTACGTGTGTGCTAGGCTCAAAGTTAATAACAATGTATAATGTCTAAAGAAGAATATAAGTTGTAAGATAGAGATTGTATGTAGGCTATGTTTAAAAATTGTTTCTAATAACATTAGAGTCAAGTATATATGGCTTGACCCAACTTAAAGAAATCGCTAGATATACCCTTGCTTGCCTTAAGGTGCTACAGGGTATATGAACTGTGTGCGTTTTGTAAATAAAATAAAATGAAATGTTTTATCAACGTGCCGAGCGCACTAAACAGACCGCGGACACGGCCGCCTGCTGCTCCACCCCCATCGCCAGCCAACTGTCTGAGTGATGGTCCTTTGACCGCGAGAATGCTGCGGGGTTGTTGGGGTTTTGCAGCAGCAGAGGCTCGCTTATTATCGCTACCCCCCCATGTGATATTTGTTGTTGTAATTGTTTTGTTGTCGTAAATGCGAAGATAGATTGCAATTGCCGCAGGCCATTACCAATGGAAATTACGAATACAAGTGCGATTCCGAATTCGAGTGCGAGAACGAGAACGAGTGGGCGTATACTCATTGGCATAGACAGTGGACATTGCCAGCACCCGCTACATCTCGTGCCCGTCATTAAATTAAAAATAAACGACAATATTTTATGCGCCTATAAATATGCAACGCACAAAATGCTGCTGCCCAGCTAAGGAAAGTGAGCAGCTGTTATTTTCTTTGCTGCTGCTGTTGGTCGGAGTTGTTTGAATTGTTGTTTTTATGTCTTCTTTATGCAAGCATCGTTAGAGTTAAAGTTGTTGCCTACTTCGCACAGCACAGGTGTGACCGGAGCAGAGATTGAGTGCCAGTGAAAAATGTTTCGGCCAGCCAAGTGATTTGCCTAAGCCCCCGTTCGGCTGCAGTGTTATGTATCTTATGCAAAACCATAAATTCTGATTAAGAATGGTTTGTTTTCTGTTTGCTCTAGCAAAATGTTCAAGTCACTTGTGCAAAAAGTTACTTAAAATTTGTTGTTCTCTAATCTCTCTCAGATTAAATATTTGATTTAAATTTACTTAACGTGCAGACCGAGCAAATATTTTATCAATTTATTTTAAGCATTTAAATAAAAGTAAAGATGATTGTATTTCAAGGCTTATGTGTTTTTAGAATATTGAAATGGCGGCTATAAAACTAAAATTTCTGGCAGACCTTATATTTACATTTGTAATTAATTGGAGTAATAAACTTTTCTGCAAAATTGCAAACATTTATAAAAATTGTTTCGGCAAAAAATTTGTTAAAATATCTCTCACTTTACACAATGTTTGTATAAATTAGTCAAATTAGTAAATGAGTATTATTTTACGCAATGTTTATATAAATGCAATGCATTTATTTTCTATTTTATTTAATGACAATTATTTTTTGGCATTTTATTTATATCTAGTGGCTATTAAATTTTCGGTGAAACAAAATGTTGAACTATAAAACCGTTTATCCAAATTTTAATTGGAATTTTGACAACCTATTCCACTTGTCGAGAAATTGCCTAAAATATTTGTGAATTAAGTATTTCAAAGAAAACAGCGTTTAGTTAATTAAATTGAAAAATATATTTATAAACTTTGTTGAACAATTTTAATATTTTTTGGCTACACTGCAAGGGCTTAAAGTCTTTTCACTTTACATGCTTAAGCGTATTGGACCTATTTGAAATTAGCTTAGATTTTGGCAATTTGAATACGATCCTGCGATAGTCTTTCGTAAGAATAACATAGTTTAAGTAATTCTGTTCAATGAATTTCTATATTCATGTCTTTTTATAAGTCGGCTCAGCAGCTATCTCCAGTTTGGCATCTTCAAAGTCGCTCCCCGCCTCGCTTTTCGACTCATTGTCATTCCAGGGCTGCGTCTCGGCGGTGCCCCAAATGAGGTAGATCACATTGCCGGAAAAGAGAACCGCGGCGGCAATGCTGAACACCAGCTGCCACTCACTACGCTCTGTTGGATGCTTTACCAACACGCCCACCACAAGGGGCGTTAGCATTGCCACCAGGTTAGTGAAGGTGCTCGAGATGCCAGACAGGATGCTCGCATGGACGGGCGATAGATCAATTGTGTTAAGTTCGCTGCCAATTGTCGCCGCACTGCTGACGCCCACGCTGAGTGTGACCAGTGCCAGAGCCAGCGGCTTCTGTGTGGCATCCACAAAGCCGAGGGCCAACATGATGGCGGCTGGTGTCCACAGCGCAATGCTGTTGTACGTCTTGCGCAGCGCTGTGAGGCTGAGACAGCGTCGCTGGAGCAGCACATCCGCGATGATCAGGTAGACATAGCACATGGCCCACATCAGCAGGAAGGGCAGCGCCGAGAAGAACGCGTTGCTGTGCATCTCCAGGCCCAGCACGCCGTTCAGATAGGCTGGCAGCTCCGCCTGCATTGTCGCCAGGCCCCACGTGTCGGCGCAGCGGGCGCAGAGCAGCGCATAAAATGGCGCTGAGGTGAATATACCACGCCAGGGTATGGCCAGCTTGCGTTCTCGCCTCACGCTGCGCTGCAGGTCGCCCACAATGTAACGCTGTTCCGCTCGGCCAATGCAGCGCGCCTCGCTGGCGCGATTGGCGCCCAGCAGCAGCCACAGCAGGCACCACATCAGACCCAATGCGGCCGACACATAGCTGATGCCTGGCCAGCCCAGGCTGGAGCTGGCCAACATGCCGGCTGCATACATGGCCAGCACGTTGCCGCAATCGAAGCCCGTATATGCGAAGGCGCCCAAGCGCGTGCGCTCCACCGCTGGCGCCCAGTTGGCCAGATGCTGATGTATGCAGGGCAATGTCAGGCCCTGGCAGAGGCCCTGCATCAGACGTATGGCACAGTAGGCGCGCCACCCGGCCATATAAATACCTTGGGGCGTCCATGCGCTGAGCAGCGCCGATCCAAAGCTGCCCCAAAAGAGCACGGTCTTGGCGCCAAAACGCTTGCAGAGGTAACCACCGGCAAATTGTGTCAATGCCGAGCCCCAGTAGAAGCTGGACAGCACATACGATTTCTGGGGCTCCGTCCAGTTGTAGTGCTGCAAGCACAGATGTCAATAGTTATTTAGTGTGGGCGCGTGGGCGTGGCCTTGCGGCCCTCGACTCACTTACGGGCAGCTCGGCATTTACAGACGTGGCATTTGTCATGGCCACCACAGCCACGCCCACATTGAACTGTAGTGTGGTATTGACGACCAGTCCCAGGAAAAGCAGCAACGCCTGCAAATGACGCAGACCAAGGCGTGGCACTAAAATGCAAATTAGACACTGAGTTACAGACTCTCAATTCCCATTTCTATTTTTTGCAATCGACCCACCTTTCTCCAGCTCCACATCCGAGTCAACCATTCTAGCTCCTATCTCCTTGTTCTTTGACTCTTTTGTCTGCTCGTTTGTCTTGCTGCAAAAATTATTTATAAACTAGGCGAAAATTGAATTAGAATTACGCCAAGTCCGGATGCAAAACGTAGTTGGATTTTCTTGTTGTTGTTGTCGTGTATTATATATTTCAGAAGCTACTAGCATTAGAAAACGTTTGTTGGTCTATAAAAAAAAGAAAACCTGCAAAAAGTTGAATTGTGTTTAAAAGCTTGATAATTGAGTGTCATAAATAATTCTATATGAAGATACAAGTGCGCGATACAATACCTAAATTATTAGTAGAGCAAGCTGACAATTGTTGCGAAATTAGTACAAGCAAGTAAGAGGTTCTAATCGGGAGCCCCCGACTAGGGGATACCCTGAACCCTCTTCTTCCAACATCAAATGCATATATATATTCTATTTTAAAAGCTATATGTCAAGTTTGGTGACTCTAGCTCTTATTATTTACCAAAATTGCCCAAAAAACAGGATATCGATATCGATTATTATCGATTGCTTGGAAACGGAGTAAGTTATCGATTATCGGAAACAAACTCGATCTGCGCAGGCACTAGGAGGAGTCTCTAGCTCTTATAGGTCTCTAGCTCTTATAGGTTCTGAGATCCTTGCGTTCATACATACGGACGGACGGACGGACGGACAGACAGATAGACAGACGGACATGGCTGATCGACTCTACTGTTGATGCTGATCAAGAATATATATACTTAATGGGGTCGGAGATGGTTCCTTCTGCCTGTTACACGCATTTGGTTTTCGCACAAATACAATATACCCTTATACCTATTTTTAATGGGTTCAGGGTATAAAAAGATTGAATATATAGAAAATACCTTTTTCTGTAAGCTTTAAAATGTTTTATAAGGATTTTAAGGATTTTATTTCTTAGCTTTGAAAAGTTTTCTAAGGATTTTAAGAAGTTGAAACAACGAAAAACTAATCAAGAATACAATTGAAAAAACAAAATATTAATTTTCAAGATCTTAAACTAATCTCGTCTCGAATCCCAATGAAAGCGGATTAGTTTTGATAAAGAACTATTATATTATGTACCTTGTATACGCGATACGGGCGGGCACATTAGGAAACGAGAAAAATAAACAAACCCCATATATTGCTAACGTTGAGAATTGCAGTTGAAGCACTTGTTTGCTGGAAGTCGAAGGGAGCTTGAAAATGGAAACTTCGACTCAGACATGGACTTAGATCTGCCATAGAGTTTATTTGTTTGTTTATTTTTATCATTGTTTCGACGATTATTTTGTTTTGTTGGGCTTTTGGTTTGTGTGCAAATTTGGTCGATAATATCAACGAAAAGAAATGCAAATCCCAGAATATACAATTGTATCTGCGCTGCTAACAAGATACTTTTAGTGCCATTGAGAGCCATACACGCACACAATCACACAGTCACACGCACGCACACACACTCAGACACAAATACTGTCACACTTGCACAAACATTTGCAATCCAAAATATACGCCGTCTGCTTCGTTCTCTTTCACTTTCTCTCTCTCCATCTCTTTCGGCTTGTTGTTGTTGATTTCGCATGCTTTTTCAATTGTTCTGAAAGCTGTCAATACAACGGGCTACAATAGGACTGATTGGGTGGGAGAGGGGGGTGGGGTGGTTGGGTATGGGCTGATCTGGCGCTTACAGCCTACTAATGCCGCATGAAGCAACAGAAAAACACAATTGAATGCAACGGCTGCAGCATATTTTTGGGGCCCGTGCAAATATTTGCACATTCGCATTTTTGTTTACATTTTAGTGCAAATTTTGCAAATTACTCGCATAGAAGTCTGGCAACACCCACACTCACACACACACACACATATATATAAAGGCATATGAGCAGACTCCCCACCTGTACAGCGTATCATATAAAATGTGTTCACATTTTTTATTGTGTTGCACATTTAATTTAAGTAAATGTCCGACATGTGCGGCACATTAGAGCAGCGGCGTCGCTAAGTGGGTTAGAATGTGAATGTTAGGCATAAGTAAGATAATTGATTAAAAAAACGTGGTATTGATTAGCTAAGAATTAGAGCCTGACAATATTTGGCATTAATTTCTGTATGCGAAATTTGTTATGATTTTTATTATGGTAATTAATAATGCAATCGTTATCGATTTATCGTTCCTAAGAAAGCTTAACATGCAATGTAACATCACATGCTGCTTACGTCCCCTTTTCTGCGACGCCCCTGGCCGTTGGGTCTTTAAAAATGTCTAGCATTCTGTTCGGTATTATTAAAAACAAATAGGCAAACACATCTGACATACTCACACCCACACACACGCACACACACACGACTACGCTGCATGCAAATAACACAACAACAGTCCAATACATTTATGCATTTTGTGTTATTTTAATTTAAAATATCTGCCGATTTATTGTGAGAATTCTATCAAGCTTTTAGGTCACAGCCAGTACAATCGAGAAACTATATTTACATGCATTCGCATGTATGTATGCATGTGTATAAGCCGTATACATATTAAAATATGTAACTACAATGTTATGCTTGATGAATAATGAACGAAGCAAAGCTTAACTGAAAAGTGTAACAGAACATCCATATGTATGGGGTGAATGGCAATAGTTACCGAATTTCCAATTGGACCTTGGACTTACATATGTGTACACGTTTAGTTCTAGTTCGCTTTGCACAGTATTCTATTTATATCCAATTTTCGTAATATTTATCATTTTGTTATTTTTTGCCGTAATATTTTTTTCTTCCGTTTAATCGCTTCGCGCGTCCGCTTTGCTAGCGTTTTGTTCAACTGCGCTTTGTTTATGCAAATAACTTTTAGACGCTCGCTGCCAACCAATTTAAATCTCGCTTAATGAAGTCTCTCCCCGCGTCTGCTGTGTACAAATGTGAATCACGAATGGAATGGAAATGTGTGGAAAACTAAAATAGAGCAGATCAGGTAGCTTGGCTTAAATGTGTTTGGGCAGCAAATAAAACTGTTTTCTTCTTTAATTAATTTGGAACAGCTGTAATTGATTTTAATTGGTATTGATCAATCATTTTGTATAACTATTGAACAATTGAATTTCTACATTTAATTCCTTGTAGGCATAATTCGAAAGTCGAACGCTGATTGAAGCTCCCTGTCAAAAGCTGACTGCTACAACAGCGCCGCTGATCAGCTGATCCTTACATTTTTCTGTTAACTAATCAGACTTAACAGGCCTTAATAAAATCAACAGGTTACATTTATGAAATCGATAGTTCGATAAAATACATTAAACATGTGCGAGCGAAATCGAGCTATATTGCTTTAAATTGATTATCTAATCGCAAATTTCATCACATACCTATTTAGCTGACCTTGTGGTGTGCCTTTTTGCTTGGTGTTGTGTGCATAGATAAAATATCAACTGTACTGTTAACAAGTATCGATTGCTGAACAAAACAGTCTTTATAACAGAGTCTCATTTTGCGGTAAAGTTTAAACTTGATCTTCAATTGTCGTTTTTCTTTTTAATAAGTTATCAGCAAGAGTAACTGTGTGCTATATATCTTTCACGTATAGTTTAACATTTTAATTTGTGTTGATCTTTACTCATAATGGTTGTTTTTCTTATTGACAGATGTTAATAACAGTTTAGCAAACATTCATGTTATTGCCCGCTGTTATGTTATACATTCGCTGTACAACTTATGTTATACTCTCTTTAGCGTGCGATCGCAAATTCTCTCATTTACTGTTAATGTTGTTGTACGTACACATGTGTGCGGACGGCGAAAAAAAATTCAAAATTTACGAGTTGTTTCAACTTTTAGACTTAGTTTGTGCGAAAGCTACTTGCATTGGTGCGTTAAATGCAGTCAAATTCGTATTAGGCAAGCAAGACCCCACTGCGTACAACATAAAATAAAAATATTCTTATTGTGGCGACAAAACGATCTCAAAGAAAGACGCGCAAGCAAATAAACAAATTTGCGGCCGTCATCTCGTCGTGTGTGTAAGTGTGTGTGTGTCCGTTGCGGGTGATTCAATTGTTTAAGCAAACAGCAACAGCCACTGGGCAATTTTTATTATTTTAACCATTTAATTGCATTAACTACAACAGCAGCAACTACAATATCCACCACAACAACAAAAACAACACCGTGAGCAAGAGTCCAGAAATTGTGTAAAAAAAAAGCCGCCAAATGACGCGACGACATAAAATAACCATTCAGCAGCCGTAAAATACGTTAATAATATTTGAAAGCAAAAAATAAAATAAAATCAGTTAAATTTGCTTTTCATGTCAATTTCGGTCACAGTTTTGTTTGATATTCGATACAAAATTTCGTGCATTTGTTCTCGTTTCGTCTTTTTCGTTTTGTTTTATTTTTTAAGCTTTTTGGTATCCTTTTATCATACTTTCGCGCGTGTTACGCGTCGTCCTCATCTGGTCACACTCGTCCATCCATCCACACATCGCTGTTAACGAAAAGAAAAGTGAACACGCGCGTAATTTTCACACCCCCACCCTTTCGCACCGTACCGCCTCCTTCTTGTGTTTGTGACATTTTTGGCATTATTATTGCATTCCACGTGTGTTTCCGTGTTTTTGTTCGCCCGGTCTCGTCCCGTATTTTGTAAGTGTTTGCCGCCGAGTGTAATATGTTTGTTAATGTTTCCATTTGTGCAATTTGCTTGCTATTCCCTTCCCTCTCGCTCTTCTAGTGATTCGTCGTAAAATTTTCTCCGTTTCGTCTTTATGAACGTGTTATAAAATTATTGTGAAAAACAGCAAAAAAAAAAAAACACAAAAAAATCAAGCAAGGCTCAAATTTTACGACATCAATACCAACAACAACAATATTTACCCCGCTGTTTTGTAAGTTGCCTGCATTCATTTTTTAAGCTTTGTTTTTACTTTTACTTATCCTTATTTTATTAATAACATATTTCTTATCACTGCTGTCTCACCTAATTTCTTATTACCTTTTTTCCCGTCTTGTACATATAAATGTCTACCTAAACATAACTTCATGTTTGTACATACACATACACGTACACATACGTAATACTTGATTATTTACCTGTTGCCTCTTGTCTGTGTCCATGTCCGTCAGTCTATCTCGCTCGCACATGCTCGCATATTTGTACATTCATTGTCAACGGTTATTTCATGATTGCGCTTTGTTGTCTTCATTTTACCTCTTGCCCTGTTAGTTTGTTTTGTTGTTGCAGCTCGCAGTTGCCTTTAGGTACATGCACACATACATGTAAGAGTATGTCTATATATTCTCTTATTGTACATACCACCACCATTTCATTTTGGCTTACCTCACTTCACCTCGGCTCAGCTCAGCTCAGCTCATCTATAATCGTATTTTGACTGCGTTGTGCCCTTATTGGCAACGCTGCCTTAGGCTGCCGCTCTGTATATGATTTTTGGCGCTCTGGCAGCGCTCGCGCTGTCGTTTTCATTTGCTCAATTTCATGGCCAGCGCTTCCTTTTTTTCATAATTCCGCTGACTCACTGCTACGCTGAGCAACATGTTTATAATTTAACTTTTTTCTATCTGTTTTGTTTTTTTGTTGGTAATTCATTTTTGTTGCTCTGTCTCATTGTGGTTTTGACCACACTCACACACACACATAACTTTTACACACGTTAATTTTAGAGTCTGAGTTTGGTTTTGGGGTTTTCACTGTTTTGACAGTCAGTTTAACATTCCCGCCTATGAATGCCAAATTATTGGGGAAGGGTAATTTTTAGGTTCAGTAACGTGGGAGACGTTAGAGAGTCAAATCTGATATCTGTTACTCAGAACAAAACTGATTAGAACTATAAAATTCTTTTGAGCAGACATTAAAATATAGAAAATATAAAAAACTTTCAATTGAATAAACTTGAATAAATAAGTATATTTGTACAAAAGTATGTGCATTGATATTTTTTAAAGCTGTTTTTCTTGATTTTATTTTTATTGTTCAATGGCCACACTGCCAACTACGAGTGCCGTTATTTTAACCGCTCATTTAACCCACCTATGGTACGGCCCACAAAGCAGCTGCGTTGCCCAGCTATAAAAGCAACAACAACAACAACAAAAGCAACAACAACAACGAGAAACTAACTACTCAGCGTCGCGTAATTTGCAAACAGAAAGTCATTAAAATATCAAATTAGCGTCTGGCGTTGAGATTTAGTCAAGTTTCCCAATGATGATGTTGACGCCAGTTGTGCCTCGATGACTGTGAACTGAACGACTGACTGCAAAATAACTGAGAATGTCTGGAAAAGAGTGTTCGTGTGTGTGTGTGAGTGCGTGTGTGTGTAGAAAAATCGAAAGTAGTCGCCATGTGGCACCCGCATAAGCTCAACAATTGACTGATTACAAGCTATGTGGCCGGCCCCTGTTAATAGCATTTATATAAAACTCAACAAATTAAAGAGGTGGCTGACGTACACAAGGTGCTCCTGCTTAAAATAAAATAAAAAATCCTTAAATTATGATTAAGATATCTAGTGAATGTCATGATAAATGCGAAAAACTCGCCAAAGTTTACGTGTCAGTGCTCATCTCTAGCCTATATTATTTGTATATCAGTTGGAAATACTACTACTTATGAACGGTTGTTTACCCTTGCCAGCGGTATTATAACTGTGCCACAGAATGTGTAACACTTTGATTATTGAACAGTATTAAGAGCCAGTTTTGCCGAGCTTGTCTTGATAAAAATATGTTTTTTTTTTGCTGCCAGATCGGTTAGATATTATATTGTATTTGAAATAAGTGTTGCTTTTATTTTGTATAAACTCAGGAATTCGTAAAATTTGTACTGATTATTATATATTGGAAGGGTATTTAAGCTTTGGAAGGCCACTTTTTATTTAGTTTTTATCATTTCATTGCGCTTATCGGCAACAAAAAGTTGACGATAACACAATTTACATGCATGAACATTCAGTTTATTTTCATTGTCTAGGTGTATGGAGTGAAGAGGCGTCGGGGGTTGCGGTGTTTTTGCAGTTAATTGAAATACGCGATAAAATAAAAGTCAAAGGGAAAGAGAAAGAGAGAGGGAGAGACTAGAAGAGAGAAAAACACGTTTTACCTGAACTCACACCAAGATGAGTCACATTTGAGTTGAAGGAACTCATTCAACACGGGCTGCAATTAGTATTTAAAGTGAACAACAAAAATAAACAAACTTAGAACATTAATAACAACAAAAACAGCTACGAGTGCAGCGCAATCGTTTAGAGTAAATTTATGTTTTCTACGAAAATTGTTAACCATCCGTTTAACTTGCAACTGACTTATCGACTCAACGATCTTGCTCAAAATGTGGCCACACATCTCTTTGCTCCATATTTGGTCACACTCTCAAGCACAGATACAATGAGAGTGCTCTATTCAAAAGTGCTCGACTAGAAGATACCCTGTACACAGCTTTGAGCATAAATTCTACATGTACAGACATGTGTGTCAAATGTGCCATGTCTTATTGATATCGAGAAGGAAAGGGGGAAAGGTTCTACCAAAGTCCATATTAGAGAGGGGAGTTATCAATCAATTTAAATAAGCTAGTTGTTTTTAATACTTTTATGTATTATACACTTTGGCTCTAATAGTCTATGAGATCCAGCACAGAACTACTTCGACTCAGTCAATTTAAACATGCATGCATGCATATTTTATGGGCTCAGCGATGCCGTTCATTACATGCATTTGCATAAGACCCTTTCTTGAATACATTTTCAATGGGGGTACAGGGTATTCAAATTGTATCTGTATCTGCGCAAAAGTTCTGTGTGAAATACGCTTGCGCGGCGACAATCGCTCGACTTACCCTTCACAAGTTATATACGAATGAACGCGTTTAATAAATTATCAAGTTGAATGCCCAGTTTCGAAATTTGACCTTGGACACAAATTTCGGGTCTCGGGGCTCTACTCTCTGTGCATGTATATCGCGAGTGTGTGTGTGTGTGTGTGCGTATGCGTTCGTGTGTATCTTTTGATTGTGTGTTTTCGACAATTTCTTAGCTTGTAGTTTCTTTGAGCTTTGATGCGTTACGACTGTCGCCCGGCCACAGTCTGCTGCTCATGACTGGGAAGTGAAACTCTACAGCAAGTGCGTAAGTCTTGGGCTTCGGTTAATTAGCGCTACCATACAAATTAACTCACGCACATGCGTAACTTACAAATACATGTGCAGATACAGATACAGAAATACAAGCAGCAAACGGCGCTGTGATTTTCGTTTTTATATGATTATGATTAATGGCTGCTCAGTTTTTTTTATATAATTTTGTCTACTCTCAATTTTGTTGTTAGGCGCTTTGAACTTGGCTCTAATGTCTGAAATAAATTGCTCTTGCTCTTGCTCTTGGTAGGCAAACAATTGCAAACCGGTTTGACCATCAAAATGAATAAGCGTTAAGGAAAGGGTAAGCGCTAGGAAAGCTTCATTATACAATGCCTAGAAACAATTATTAGAACATAAAGTTGTGCTGTTACCAAGTTGTTAAACTTAAAAACCTTCTCTTTATGTCGGAACCAATTCTCTGTAATCAATCTATTTGTATTTAATAGGAACTGCAAAAATAGTTGCTGTCAATCTATTGAAAATGGGTGAAGAGGGTAGGATGGTTGTGTGCAAATGTATGCAACAGGGAGAAGGAGACGTCGCCGAATCCAGAGTGTATATATGTATATTCCTTGTCAGCATCACAAGCCCCGTCGATTTAACCATGCCCGTCTGCCTGTCCGTCCATCCGTTAGTAGCTCAATCCGTCCGTCTGTCTGTATATGTATATGAACGCGTCTATCTGAAAGCCTTTAAGAGCTGGAGAAATATTTATACGATAACATGCCCCGTTTCCAAGCAGTCGATAGAAATCGATATCGCAATTTTCTAGGTTGTAAATTTGACATGTTGCTTCTAAAAATAGTATATACAGATCTATCATTCATTTTAAAGCAACGACTATTAATTTTGCTGAAAATGTGTATTTTTGTATATAAATTAAAAACCAAATTGTTGGTGGCCTTAAAGTAAACGTTTGTTAGCTTCGTGCTGTTAGTTTCATATAGTTTCGAAAATTTACTTTCAAAAAATTCCTTAGCCCAGATTAAGTTACGAAGGCGGATTCACGCCTTGGGCAAATGACTCCGGCCTATTTCCAACTTACACCAAACTTTAAATTTATCCAAATGATATTATTGAACGCACAGCCATATTCTGCACCCAGAGTTTGTTCACAACTTCACGCCAAGATCGAGATCAGCACACTACATGATAATTTTTTAATGCTTTAAAATTTAAGTAGCTTTAAAAAAATTGTTGATTAATTATAATTTCTATATTTATTTGTGTTGGCTTCACGCAACGCACGCAAAACATAAAAGCTAATCAGCTCACGCTGTTGGATTTTCAAAAAGAGCAAATAATAATAAACACACATGCACAGCATCTGTCTGCACAAATATTTATTGATATTTGACATGATCGATCACCCAAAGGGGTTGTGGAGGGCGGGGAGAATGGGGAGGGGGTCGGGGAAACTGTTAAATACTTGACGAGCTAGATGAGCCAATTTGTTGAGGTGTTGAAAAATGCAAATGTACATGTCCTCCTGCTGCTGTTGCCGTTGCGATGCCCGATGATGTGGCCTGTCATATTATGAACATTTTTGGGTGGCTAGAAAAATGCGGCGTTACGCTCCGGCTGATTTGTGCGCTAAACACACTGTCAGCTGGTTGAAGGCGTGTCCCCTGCCCCCCTGGTCAGCGCTTGGGGTCTTCCATTCTCACCTATCGAAATTGCCGTGCGTTGCTTTTATCACAGCGCACGTAAATGTCAAACATAAGCCCCACG